GGTTAGGGATGTTCGACCTACATAAGGATTTCCCACTCTGACCAGGGGACTTCAATGTAAATGATACATTTGAATTCATATCTTAGAAAACCATTATCATTAAACAAGATTAGGATTTCTTAATTTGGCATATATTGGGTTTTAGGAGAATCTGTTCATGAACTAGAGAGGGTCCCTGACTCCTCTAAAATTGTATATAATGTTTGTCTATTTAGAGAAACGATAGCATAACTTTTACACACTGTCATAAGATTCTATGGCTTCTCAAATATTAAGAAACTGTGCTGGAAAAAGCAGAGTTCCACTAATAAGGAACAAGTCAATTTATCTTATATAAAAATAAATTGTGCAACCTAGAAAAGTATCACAAATAACCAACATGCAAAATATAATAAAATAAGTGCTATGTTTATGCCTTCAAAAAAGTGCAATGCAACAACTTCAATGACATAATATTTATTAAACCAATACTTTATAAGTCCAAGCTATTTGTTATTGGATACCCATTTTTTATAATTTGAAAAAATTTAGAGTCATGGGAACTGCTTATAGGTTGTGCTGTGTTGTACATGGTTACTGGCAATCACTCACTAAAGAGCTGGGAAGAGAAAGTCAATGGAAAACAAATGTGGGGTTCACCCTGTTGGTCAAGAGATACTGACACAGATAACAAGGGATTTGGTCACATATGAGGTATAAGTTGGGACGTACCCAATTACATTTAATTTAACTTAGTTCAACTCAAATTTTGAGTTATTACAATGTACAAAGGACTGTGTTCCTAATGAGAAAAAAACAAACAAACAAACAAACAAACAAAAAACAAAGGGAAACTAAACTTGAAACTTGATTGTGTTAAATTTTTCTTGTTTTAACCCAAAGGATTAACTTGTCAGATCATTGAAGAAGATAAGATTTGGGCATTATTGGTTTTTCATTGAATAAAGGATCACAGTGTGGTATATTTGCCTTATGTCCAGTTAGCTCATCAGGAAATATATTTTCCCTGTTCCCTGCCTGCCTACTTCCAGGTTAATGTAAGATACAAGAAACATAGCGCATGAGTTTGGGTTGATGGAAGAGAAGTAAAAGGCTTGTTCTTTTCTGCTTGAAAGGTCAGATCAGGGCACTGCTCTGTGGGCAGCTCTTCCATGTTGCTGTCCATCTGCTGGCTCATCCTCCTGGCATAGTGTAAGGGTGGGCCTGCCAGTATCATCAGCTTCTGACTCCTGAGCAAGGTGCAGGCTGAGCTTTGTCATAAAGAGCATCAGCTTCTCCCATGCTAGTCTATTAAAATCTCTGATGCAAAAAGCATTTATAAGTAGGCTTGTGCTCTGTTGGGCTGAGGAAACAATAAGAGGTAACAAAAACTCTTATAAACCAGTTTCTATCACAGGGTACCCACATCTTTGAAATGGAGGCTGTGAGAGACTGACGTGGGTTCCAGTTTTCAACCTTTGCCATCTTCCACTCACTCCATGTTTCCTTACTGGCTGCCTACCCTGCAGACATCAGAGACAGAGCTAGTGGTCTTCCAAAGACTGCTCAACCAGTTCTCTCGATTGTGCAAAGGGAAAATTCTATTATCAATTCCCTTTTTCTCTTTGTCATTCATACAGGTTATTTTCTAATTGATGTCCTATGCTAATACATATATAACCTACATATGCAGAAAAAGGATTTAAAATTAAGAGATCATTTGTTGATGTCAGAAGTAACTCTGACTTTTTCAAAATCAAGGCAGGGTAAACCTTTCCCATGTTAGTTTATTAAAATGTATAAAGCAAAATGCATTTTAAAGTAGTTTTGTGCTTTCCCAGACTTAGCAAATAATCAGAGCTAACAGAAACTCTTAGGAATCAGTTGTAGTTTTCATTGCTTTTTCATAATGGAGCCTGTTTAATAGCAATTAGAAGACTAAAGGATTACTGTCTGTAAAGAGAATATAGAAAAGGAAAACCCAGGATCTGGTAAAATCACTCTTTGGCTTCTTTTTCTCTTTTAAAATTGACTGGGAAGGACATTGTTCTTTTCTCGAGGGAGGAAAACACTTTAAATAATTGAAACAGATCTGTCATTTGTGGAAATATCTGATCATTTTATGCCTACTGCAACCCCCATATGTGCTTTGCAGATATTGATGGAAGTTAATAAATGCCACATTGGGTAAAAGAGGATTTAAGGACAGAACCATGGTCTGAACTGAGAGTCATTAGATCTTCTGGTATGATTTGTTAGGAGAAATAAAAGTCAACTCAAAATTGTGTTAAAGAGAATTTATTGGGATGTAGAATTTTTTTAACACAACCCTAGGGTGGGAATATAGTGCTGTCTCTCTCTCTCTTTTTTTTTTCTCTCTCTCTGCCTTTCTTTCACTCCATATCTTTCTCTCTCTATATATATATATATATATAATATAGATATATAATATAATAGATATATAATATAGATATATATCTAGATATATAATGTATATATAATATATAATTATATATAGTGTATATATATAATTATATATTACATATTATTACCTTTGTTACTGTTTGAAAGTAATTTAACTTCTCTAAGCCTCAGTTTTCTTACCTGTTGGTAATACCAACACAACTACCTCTCAGAGAGGTTATAAAATTTTTAAAACTGCTAAACCAGTGGACTTCAAATGTTGTCACCACACACCATATGTATGTGAGGTGATAGATATGTTAATTAGCCTAATTTGATCATTCTATAATATATACCTGTATGGAAACATTATAGTGTCCCAGGAATATATACCATTATTTGTCAATTAAAAATCAAATCAAATAATAATAATTACTAGCCTTTACCAAGGACTATATAAGGTTCTCAACAATGGTTCCCAAACATAGCTTTCTATCAAAATCTCATATGAAGAGTTTTAAATATACGGATGCCTCAGCTGCCATACTTAGTGACTCAAGACTGGGCCCAGGGGGACCAGCAGTTGACATAATGGCTATGTCGCTAGACTCCCATGTAGTCGACCACGGTTCAAGTCCCGGACCCAGTGGCTTAAACTCATGCCAGGCACGTGTGCGTGCGTGCCCAAGATCCCAAGAGGAGAATGGAGGAGAAGGGGTTGCGGTGGGGGGATTCCTGGGGGGTGATTTCTCGCTGTCTCTCTGGCTCTCTGGCTTTCTGGTGAGCGCATGCACCCTATAACAAAAACCTCTCCAAAAAAAGAAAAGGAAGAAAAAAAAGACTGGGGCCAGGTAAGATAACACAAAGGAGTCAAACTGCCAAATTAGCAAGAATTTGAGATCTTACCCAGTACCAAGTTAACTAACAATTCAAAGAATGCAGAAAGCAGTGAAATATGAGTTAAGCATTCTTCCCTTGGAGAGGGCTGACTCTGGGAGGCACGGTGCCTATAAATACCCTCCTTTTCCTGACTAAAGATGTGCATTGAACATAAAAGGTACGTGCAATGAAGTGCACTGACTCGACAGAAAGAGCAATTTTTGTTATAGAACATCTGCTTGTTCTACGTAACAAGCTAACTATGCAGTCTTTTACATGTTTTTCAGTAGGTCATACCCATAAATTCATAACTTTCAGGCTTATTTACAATAATCAACGTAAACTGACCTGGTCCATCCTGGTAAAAGCATTACACAGATAAGAACTCTTCAGCTAAGAAATACCATTATTTCGTTTGCCAGGAGGTGAGTCAATAGCGTGTTTACAAAGGGCCTTGTTAAAGCTTTCCTTTCCAACAAGTGATACTAATTATGAAAGACTAGAACCACTAAAATAGAACGTTTTCCCCTTTTCCAGTTCTGGATCGGCATATGAGTACTTATTTGAATAAAATTCCTTTTGCACAAATACATGTAAGGGTATAAATTTGGGGTGTTCCAAATTCCTTGGGGCATTTTTAAGCTTTAAATAGTGGCAACTGGGAACAGCAGATGGCATAGTGGCTATGTTGCGGGACTCCCACTTAGTTGACCATGGTTCGATTCTGGACCTGGCGCCTTAAAAAAAAAGAAAAAAAAAAAACAAAACTCAGGCTGGGTGCATGTACATGTGTGCTCAAAACCCCAAGAGGAGAATGGAGGAGAAGAGCATGGCCAACCCCCCTGGGATTTCTCATTTTCTGTCTCTCTCTCTCTTTCTCTCTGGTAAGTGCATGAACCCTATAGCAAACATCTCTCTTAAAAAAAAAAAATGGCAACTGATAGTTTCTCTTTTTCATTAATAGAGAATTTTTACTATAGGGCGTGTGCACTCACCAGAGGGACAGAAAGACAGAAAGTGAGAAATCACTCCCCCAGGGAGGATGGCCACACCTCAGTCTTTTCTCCTCTCCAGATTTTGGACACACACACACACACACACACGCCTGGTGTGAGTTTTAAGTCGCCAAGTCCAGGACTTGAACTGTGGTTGACTATATGGGAGTCCAGAAATGTAACCATTGTATCATATTCTGGCCCCTGGCAACTGATTTTTCTTCTTTTTTAGAGGGATTTTTGCTATAGGGTGTGTGCACTCACCGAGAGACAGACAGAAAGTAAGAAATCACCTCCAGGGGCGGACGGCTGCACCGCAATCCCTTCTCCTCCATCCTCCTTTCAGTATTCTTGGCACACACGCACACACATCCAGTGTGAGTTTTAAGCTACTGGGTCTGGGACTCGAATCATAGTCAAATATATGGAAATTCAGCGATGTAACCATTACACCATCTGTTGGTCCCGCAACTCATCTTTAAATAGCTTAAAACTGTCCTAAGACTCTTAATATCCTTTTTATTTCATTAGTTGAATGAGAAAATTGAAGAAGAAATTGTGTTTGTTTTCAGGGGTAGTTTTGTTTTTGAACCTGATAAAACTGCAAAGGCTATCTTCCAAGTGTATATAATGCAGAAATGGTCAAGCCATGTCTCACTTGGTGTATAATCAGGTCTCTCATGTTGGTATGCCATCATATGTTTATCCAAATGCAAATTATGTGCCTAATCTATGTGTCTGCAGATACTCCATTGACAGGAGCAGTGACCCTGGAAGATTTTTCTATGTTGACATTACAACAGGTGCCCTAATGACCGCAAGACCCCTAGATCGGGAAGAATTTTCTTGGCATAATATTACTGTTCTTGCTATGGAAATGAGTAAGTATCACAATAAATTGGTCTCCATGTAGTAACAAAACTTAAATGTTGTAGGAAGTGGACATTTCTAGAACTTGTTATAAAAAAAATGTATTTCTTAAGAAAAATGGAAATCAAGGTTTATGCAAGTAAATACATTTATTTCAAATACTTTTCAGTGTCTCCTGCACTTTGTCCTGTGCTGGAGATAAAAGCAAGCAAAACATGCAAAAGCAGTGAAAGTAGAATGCTTACCTCAAGTAGTCATGTGGAAAAAGGAAGATTCCTGAGAAATCTGAGACTTTCAGTCTTTAGTAAGATTACTAGTGTACAACTAATATAAAATATTTTTAATTGCCAGAGGGCATGTGTGCTTGCCAGAATTAGAGAGACAGAGAGGGAGAGAGAGAAGCACCCCATAATGGGACATGGTCATACCACAATCCCTTCTGCTTCATTTCTACATCCTGTCAGGATTTGGGGCACAGGCAAATATACACACATCCCCATAATGTTTCTCAAGCCACTATGGCTGAGATCCCAATCCGGTTAGCCATGTGGGATCCAGCTGCTTTACCCAATAGGCTATGGGGCTAGCCTTAAGATATTAATGTTATTATTCAGTGAAAAGAAGCATCAATAACATATCACTCTTAACACACGTATACACATGCATGCTAAAAAATTTTAGAAAGCTCACAATAAAAGGCAGATTTATTACCATAATATACTTGGAAACGAAATGAATAAAAACTAGATTCGCATACATTATAAACAAAACAAAAATTAGATATCGCCACTATATTTAATTTTTTTTTTCATTAATACCGAGTGATTGTAAAAGCTTAGAGAAATGGCAACTTCCAACCTACTGACTATATAACAAGGCACTGCCATTCAGGAGAACGATTTGGCAGTATGTACTAAGATTCTACAGCATTCTTTTTTTCAGAAATTCTACTGCTAGTTATTATCTTAAAAATAATTATAGATACCAACAAGAATTAATATGCCAAAATGTTCACTGCAGTGTCATTTTAAAATGGGGGGATAGGAATTACTTAAATGTCTAATAATAGGGGCTCAACTAAATAAGTTATGATGTGACTTCTAGTAAAACAAGAACACATGTAGATATTAACTTACATACTCTCAAAGTATATTAAGTAATATAAGATAATCTTGCCCTAAAATATGAAAACTCTTGAGTCCCAACTTTATATTTAGATTAACTGCAATTTGTATATGTGTATGTGTATGTATGTACATGTCTGTGGCTTCAAAATTTTGGACAGATATATAATATATATACAAGGTATATCTCTGGTGGTAGGATCATATTTATCCTTTTGATTTTCACATAATTTTCATTATTCCTCCTATAAACAAATATCACAGTTATTATGAAAAAATAAATTGTATTTATGTTAACACTTTATAGTAACCAAGCGGTAGAAATAAGAATATATTTTTAAGAAAGGGAGAAAAAATAAACAATACATTAGTGAAATTATTTACTAAGAATTTCTGTTGTCTTGACAGTATGTCTTGTCTCCTCGGGCTGGTGGCTATAACAGAAGAACAGGACAGGCACTATTGAGGCTGTGAAACTGTTTTGTGTGGCAGTGCCAAGCAAAAGACACAAAGACACACTTCTGCTTGAGTGACTCTGAGTAACCTCTCCTGCCCCAGCCAAAGATGCAGATTGGTGTGTGTCTGATCCTGCAATATCCCCTTAGTCCCTAAGCAGAAATAAATGTGCAGTGTTATCTGTATTCCAGCGAATAACTTGAACCTTCTGAAATATAATTCAAAGAACTGATTATTCTACAGGAATACTGCCAAGCAGTGCTACACACTATGAATCAATTAGAAATGGGCTGTTTTTAAGCCCAGAATACAGAATTGACCTGCCTTTCATTCCAGAACCTTAAGTATGAGCCAAGAAGGAGATGCAGAACCTCTTTTTAAGATTCTTTGTGTAACACTTGCTTTCCCTCAATATTTGCCCTTTCTCTCACATTTCTGATATCAAACACCCTCTCCAACACACACCTCATTCATACACCTGGCTCATTCTGCCCACGCTTCCTATTTCTGGCCATACACTATTTTACTATTTTTTAAGAATTTTTTATTTATTATTATTTACCATAGGACACATGCACTTACCAGAGAGAGACAGAGAGAGAGGGAAAGTGAGAAAGCAAGCTGACAGGTCCAGGACTCAAGCCATGGATGATCCTATGGAATTCCAGCCCCTAAACCACCATGCCACCTCCTGGCCCCCGGCCACACTCTTAATATTAATAGTAACATATACATCCTATGCTGTGCTTCCATTTCCATGTATTTTTTTTTTTTCCCTTGAAAAACCAAACTCAGAATTATCCTAGACTAGTTGAAAAAAAATTTAGGAGCATGATACACCACTGCACCAAATATCAAGAATCAATGATTGAGGTACATTTAGACTGGAATCACTGTAGTATCTTTGTTTTCCCCCTGAGAGAGGGATGTGACTTTTTTCCTTGACAGAGCAGAATAGTTAAGAAGCATTGAGTCGATATTTTGTAAATTAAGGGAGCTAAGATAAATTTTAGTTACACAGACTAGTGTAACTAGTCTACTTCCATACCTATTGAATTTCTAATCTACAAAGACCAACTTCCAGCAAGAAGCTGATTTTCTGCAATACTACTCTCTCACCTTTTTGGTTCTCCTGTGTTCTCTTTAGACAATCCCTCCCAGGTTGGAAGTGTCCCTGTCACAATCAAAGTCTTAGATGTGAATGACAATGCTCCTGAATTCCCAAGATTCTATGAAGCTTTTGTCTGTGAGAATGCCAAAGCAGGGCAGGTAAGGTGGCCTCTGAGCCAAGCACTTTGGTTAACCCTAACATATGGAAATAACTACTAGAGATGATCAAATTCATCACCACAGACATTTTAACTCTAGAAACCAGCACTTTACAGAGGGTCTGCTCTCTGTATATCAAGTTTCAACAGTTCATTTGCTAAGACAACTATTTGGAGCCTACATTACTTTTTTTTTTTTTTTTGGAGAGGCTTTCGCTATAGGGCACGTGCACTCGCCAGACAGACAGAGACATAGAGACAGAAAGCGAGAAATCACCCCCCAGGGGGGATGGTCACGACACAATCCCTTCTCCTCCATTATCCTCCCAGGATCTTGGGCACGCACGCACACGCACCCAGCGTGAGTTCTAAGCCACCAGGTCCGGGATGCGAACCGCAGTTGACTACGTGGGAGTCCAGCGACATAGCCATTACGCTAACTGCTGGTTCCCAAGCCTATATTACATTTTATGATCTAAAGGTGTGGGTTTTGATTTTTTGTTTTTGTTTTTATTTTTCTTCAAATTTCTTTCCTCCAAGAGAAAGACACACACAGAGAGAGAGAGAGAGAGAGAGAGGCATCCCCAATATGAGCCAGCCCCAAATCATGGGAATGATTATGGGCACATGCACATGCCCAATGTGTCCCAGAAGGTCTCCAGGTGGGCAGCCTGAAAACTTTTCACAAGAGTCAACCTCACAGACCATTGCTTTACAGCTACGCCACCACCTGGCCTCAGTGTTTTCATAGTGGCCTGATTCGTAGGTTACTTGAATCAGTATCAATCCACCTTAAAGTTGAACTGTATAGTACCAACCATAATAACACATGCCATGGGTCTAGGAAGTGAGGCCCATGTGGTATGAGAGATGGAGTCTTCTCTTTTCCTGAGTATAAGATTAATCCCTGCAAATATACTGCAGCAGGAAAAGTTTACTTCCTATATCTTCCCGCCTTCCTTCAAGGCTAAACACCTTGTTTAGGGATTGCCTCGCCTATTGTCAGAATACTTTGGTGCCTAGAGTTCCCACCCTCTCTCCTTCCTCAATTAAAATACCCAGTTCCTTAGTGCTGCTCATTGTAGGTAAGTTTGGAGAGCAATGTAATCTGATGGAATGAAGATGTATTTATTTGAAAGAACTATAGTTCCATCATCTTCAGAGACAGAAGTATTTCTTAAATTATGCCTTTAAAACTGACTGAGCAGTTAGTTGATCGAATTTCAAGTGTTGCAATTGAGAAGTATGGAACTCCATTTGCAGTGGTCATGTATTAATGTTGTGTCAGTCTATTGTCCACCCTATAAACTGTCCCACTTCCCACATTCTGCTCCTACTTTTATCAGATGCTTTCCTCCTCTACCTACGTCCCCACAGATTCCCTAACAGTCCTCATATACTTTCTCTGGAGTATACCTTGTAGACCTATGAATTCTGGTGGTGGTCAGGATCATTTTACTATGAAAGGTGGGCAGGAGGTGGGAATATTTATACCTGCTTTGGTAATTTAGGCCTCCGACTATAATACAGCTTTGCTTTCACTTCTCTCACTCACCTGGAACAACACCTCCCTTATCATGCTGTCTGTGAAACTAAAACTTATCTTAGCTCCCTTCATTTACAAAATATTGACTCAACACATCTTAACTATTCTGCTCTGTCAAGGGAAAAAGTTACACCCCTCTCTCAGGGGAAAACAAATATACTACAGTGATTCCAGTCTAAATTTATCTCAATCATTGATTCTTGATATTTGGTACAGTGGTGTATCATGCCCCTAATTTTTTTTTTCAACTAGTCTAGGATAATTCTACTTCCACACCTATTGAATTTCTAATCTACAAAGACCTGAAATATTATACAGCTAATAAAAGTAACAATAAATGCTTTACAACACAAGAAATTACCTATTTTATAAGACAGAAGGTATAAAAACCACATATACCTGCACGCAGTTATGTTACATTATGTTTACATATAAATATTGGGAAGGAAGATGGAAGAACTGTACAGCTACTAGGCTAAGGTAGTTGAGTTTTTGAGTGAAGAGGTTTGAACCTTCAATAATTTCTGTTTAATCATAATTTTATATATGATAAAGTATAAAATTGTTTTATATTATAAAATGACAATATTAAAAGTTTATCATAATATCACAAAAGAAGCTAAATTTAATCTATAATGCAGTAAGTAGCACAGTAAATTAAACCTCCTCCCCCCTAAAATGAAACATGCCCTTTCTTAAAGGGCTTCAGAAGTTGTGCACTGACAGGTTGATAGCACTTTCACCACCTCTCCTGTTGGGGTAGTCAAACAAACTTATCTAAATACATCTTTTAAAGGTCTCTTAAACAGTGCTTTGAAGTATAGCTTATCTGTGACTTGGAGTTTGGAACATGAGCCAGAAGTCTGTCAAATTTGTCTTCTTTAGCCCAAGATACTGAAAATCCGACCCTTTGATTTGGGCGCCGGGAAATGTTTTGAAGATCTTCTAAAGCACAGAGCTCAGAAGGTACATCTAGTCTATAAAGAATCAGGCCTCCCTGTGTTTACTTGTTGGACACTGTCGTCAGCCTCACGTCTGCCAAGTCCAAGTACGTGCTTTGCTCTTTGCGAACACCCAGGAGAGAAGCCCATAAGGGAATCAGACGACACACTGGGCAATGGCTGAGGGCAGTGTGAAGCCTGCTGAGCGGAGTATCATATGACAGGTGGGGCTGAGGAAGAAATCTGGCCTGCCAAGAAAATAGAGAGCAGGAGAGCAGAGAGCAGGTTGTGGTGTGCCCAGCTTGAGCCCAACGGGGTAGTGTCCACTCATTCATCCTTTGAAGCCTGGTGACCAAACAATGGTGCCTCAGGCCTGCATCTCACAAATACAGACACAATTCACAGGTTGGATGTTCTGAAATGACTTTTTCAACTATGTTTGCCAAGTTATATATAGTCACCAATTATAACATTCCTCGAGAAATATGTTTCCTCTTTATACAATGTTGGGCACTACAAATAAGATGAAAGTGCAGAATGACCCCTTGGTGGGGACAGAGCAGAAGGGTGACTCTCAGGTGAGCAGCAGACACAAGGCTAGACCATGGTTAGTTTATCTTTACCGACCTTCACTGTACCTCCATCCTCTTACTTTTTTTTAAATCAACAGTTGAGTTGGGTGACCAGTTGGGTTCTCTAGCAAACATTCCCTGAAATGAAATTCTAGTAAAAGGTTCTATTAAGAAGGAGTCTTGAGGCTAACACCTGTGGAAAGAAGTAAGATGGGGCTAAAGAATAACAGCCTTGTGGGGGACCAGTTGTTAGTGTAATGGCTATGTCACTGGACTCCCATGCAGTCGACCGCGGTTTGAGTCCCAGACCCGGTGGCTTAAACTCACGCCAGGCGCATGTGCGTGCGTGCCCAAGATCCTGAGAGGAGAATGGAGGAGAAGGGATTGTGGCATAGCCATCCCCCCCATTGGGGGTGATTTCTCACTTTCTGTCCCTCTGTCTCTCTCCATCTTTCTGGCAAGCGCATGCACCCTATAGCAAAAACCTCTTCAAAAAAAAAAAAAATAGAATAACAGCCTTGGAACTTCACAGAGTTCTAGAACTAGAATTCCCCCTATTTGAGATGGGATGGCCATGCCTTTACATACTACATCAGTTAATGGATGTGGGTTGTCCTGGAAGGACAAGGTGACCTTTCATGTTTTATCCTGCGAGAGGCATAGCCAGCTTTTAACAGCAGAGTAGCAAGTCTACAGGCCAGGCTCAAGAGAGGTGGGAGTGAGTCTGTGCAATCGGTTGGTAGAGGAGCAAACACACAGGCAGGAGAGGGCCTGTGCAACACCACTAGATCCCCACAGCCTGCCCACTAATGTTCCAATTGTCTGTTTCATGCTGCTTTCTTTAAAAGCTTTTTCATGATGGCCTCCATAGCCTTCATGGCAACTTATCACTTTAAGAGCATTGTGGAAAAGGCAAAACTTGGCTAATGAGCTCAAAGGACAGCCACTCACCTCTTGCTCTCCCCATTCCCAAGCTTTGTTTCTGACTCATCTATTTTATGCAACCCACTCTGGGATTCTTATGCTCATCACCTCTTCTAGCTCCCCACTCTGACAACAAAACATGACTTCCCCATGACCCATTCCCTCACGTCTGCTTTCCAGTAACCGACATAGCCAATGCTGATTTGTCTACTCCCTTCCCTCTAGTAGCAGTCATTCTTAAATAGAGGCTTTTCAAAGATAGCAACTTAACCCTGAAATATTCACTCAATGACAAGGTTAGTTAAGTAGATGTGATGAAAGGAGGAAAATCTGAGGACAAGCAGGACCTCGTGGCACCCCAGAGTCCTCTTACTCAAAATCTATTTAGACTGCATAAAAACGTCTGGCCATAATTTGGAAATGTAAGTTATACTGATGTCTAACATCTGAAGGATTTAGGTTAACATTTACTCTTTGTCTATTAATGTGTTCAGACCCAACAATAAAGCAAAATTAAATCCCGAGAAGTGTGATAATGACATGGAGATTCTCTAGGTAAGTTTCATGATGTCTTTTTCATTAGGTAAAACCACCCATCACTGGATATCAAGGTTTGGGATTTCACTGGGCTCTCAAGGTTTTCCCTTTGGCTTCAACTCACCTGATCTCATGTCTCTCTCCCAGCTGATCCAGACAGTGAGTGCAGTGGACCAGGATGATCCACACAATGGCCAGCATTTCTACTACAGCTTAGCTCCAGAGGCTGCCAACAACCCCAACTTCACTATCAGGGACAACCAAGGTAATCAGGTGGATAGGTATTTATCTATGATTTTCTGCAACTCAGGCTGGGTGCTTCAGGTTACTGAACTATATAAGCTGTGTCAAAGGTCACCTCTTTGATGGCAAGGAAGACATTAATGCATTCATAGTGTCTGAAGTTTTGTTTCAGAGATACCAGAGACAAAGAGTGCCCTCTACAGATTGAAACTCAGTCGACAAATGTTTACTGAGTTTACAAGTCTAGCTTGTTCTGTGCTAAATTCTGTTGAGACACAAAGACAAAATCGTTCCTTTATTCTCGCAGATAGAGTCACATTTATATGTTCTGTAATGATGGTAAGGATATGAAAAAGAACATAGAAAGTAAACCAGATAAAGAGAAAAACTAAGGAAATATTTCTAAGCAGGAATCAAAGAGGGAAACAAGAAAAAGTTCTCAGAACAAAAGAGAAATCAAGACTAACTGAGACAGCATACAGTTTTGGCATGTAAACAATGTTATGACTGTAGAATGACTTAGAAAGACACATCCAGATAGAGTTCCTGTTTCATAAGGTGTTCCCTACTACAGTTTTGCCGAGATGTAATTCTACGCCCTTCTCCAACAAGCATTCAAATCAGCTGAAGGGTTTATAGATCCAGCATACTCCTCTTTGTCACAGGTGGGAAATGAGGAACTTCTGATCTCTAGCCAAATTATTTGCTTCAAAGAAAGTTCAGGGCTATTGAAAAAAATAATTTAAATCTGTCAAATGAACCTCTTCTGTTGTCATCTCTGCTACCAACTAGGTATCTGATCTTGGGGAGGTCATCACTTCCCTGGGCTGCAATGCCTCATTTTCATTCTAATTCAAAATATTGTCACTTTGTAACAGTCTAAACAAAGGGTAGCAAAAGTTATAATTAGGCCTAGTCTTACTCTCAGGCATTAATTGTTTGAGATTTAAAGTATTTAACCCGACATGATATTCTTTTGATGTAAAACTCAAGAATCTGAAATGTAAGTGAAAAACACTCTTCCAAAATATTCCTTCAACCTTGTACAAGTTATCATAAAATCACTATGATAATTCTCAAAGGGCAGTGTGAATTATGAAAACAGAAATACTACAATTACATATCTTGGTATTTTTATTGGGTCTAAGTTTTGAAGTATTCATTCCTACAAAAATTGCTTTCAGCTTCCTCAGGATTGATTTGACAAAGGACATCCAGGAGTGGAGGAATAACACCTATTATTTCTTCAGATTTTCAGCTGTTACTCTATTCCTTCACCCTGGTATTTGCTGAGAATCAATACAAAAACAATTATGAGCAAAGTGCTGCAAGTTTCTTAAGAGATAACTGGGTACCAATTCAGAAACCAATACCTTACAAAGAAAGTGCACTGGTACAGGCTGACTATAAAAAGATACCATTCATCTCTTGGAAAGAGTCCCAAAACAAAAGTCATCTTCAACAGAAAGCATGAACTCCTAATCTCTACCATGGCAATGCATCACACAAGTATCCTTTATTGAGGCTCATTAAAAACTAACCAACGGTGTTTTGTGTCACCTTAGAAACAAATGTTATTTCCAAATGGTTTAGAGAAGCCATAATTATCACACTCAACAGAAATTTTCCAATTCTCTGGTATTGTGGTTAAGGTGTTGGACTCCCACATGGCAAACTGAGGGTCAAGTTCTGGACCTGGTAGCTTGCTTTCTCACTTTTCTCTTTCTCTGTCTCTCTCTGGTCAAATTTAAAAATAATAATAATGAACAAAATTAAATAAATAACTCTTAAAAAAATGTAACTGATCAACATCTGGTACGATTGTATCTACTGTCAAGATCCCCTGTTCCAGTGCCTGAAGTGTGATGTTCTTTTATAAACACCCTAGGACACCCTCTCGAGGAAAACTTTTTTTAGTACCATTTTATTTTTTAGAAAAGTTTTAAAGAACAGAGTTTCCATGTCTTTCAGTCAGTTTCCCCTAATGTTGACAGCTTATGTAAATATAGTACATTTGTCAAAATTAATAGATCAACATTAGCACATTACTACTAACTAGACTCCAGCCTTTACTCAGATTTCACCACTTCTTTATTAATATCCTTTCTCTGTAAGGAAAACCTATCTTACTTTTTGGCCCCAAAACATTATGAAAAACATTGTGTGTGTGTGTGTGTGTATATATATATATAAAATGTTTCAAAACAATTTTGTCTTTCTTGATATATAGTAATTCTTTAAGATTTTCCAGGAAGTTACTAACCTCTCAGAGACCTACTGTCCTATGTTATAAATGAGGAGAGCAATCAAAGTGCCCAAGATTAGAGTAAACATTAAAACTGAGACCAGAGATTCAGTTTAGTTTCAAACACATACACACACACACACACACACACACACACACACACTGTTTGGTGTCACTTTAGAAATAAATGTTATTTTCAAATGGTTTAGAAAAGCCATAATTATCACATTCAACAGAAATTCTCCAAATGGTTACTATATTGCCAGCCCCTTCCAAAACTGGACTCAGCATTGTGATGTTTTGATTTTTTTTTCAAGTAATTCTTAGATCAAAAAACATAGAGTAGGCATAACACAATTCTTTTATGAATCAGCTCTAGTCAGTCTTTCTAGGAGTCTTATGACCTAACCTGGATTAAACCAAAAAATTAAAATTAAAAAGAGTTCCTTTTAGAGAAAAACTTGTTTTCTATAAAAACAAAATATTGAAACTCTGAAGTAGAATTAATAGTACTGAACTTGGCTATTAAGTCTGGAGAACAGAAAGATGAGTAGGTTGTGGGGTAGGGAGAAATATTAAAATAATCCACAGGTTGACAACCAAGTGCCATATCTCTCCCAATAGAAGAGGAGGAAAGTTATGCTTATCAAAGCAGTAAGATACGAATCAGTTTTTGACAGTTAATGCTACTAAACTAAATAAGCAATTACCCAGCACAATAAAAGGAGTGTATGTTTGGAGCCAAAGAGATCAGAGTTCAAATCTCAGCTCTGCTATTAACTAGGTTAGTAAATGAACAAATCATAAAATCACTCTAGGCCTTGTTTCTCTCACTGTGAAAGGGTGAGATTATCACCATCTCACCAAATCGTTGTGCAGATTAAATAGGATAAAGCATGTAAAATGCAAGTACCTGGCACATGAGCACTCAATACACACTAGCTGTTACCATGAAAGAGCAGAGGGAAGAGGAAAAGTTAATTAAGGAATAACACAGTAGTCAGAATAGGCTAGGTTATGCCATGGGAATAAATACCACCAAAGTCTCAGTGGCTCAGCATAACTAAAGTTAATTTCTTGCTCCTATTAAAACCCAATGTGGGGGCCTAGCAGGTGGCACAGTGGTTAAAGCACTGGACTCCGACATGGCCGAGTGCAGTTCAAGCCTCAGACCCAGTGGTTTGCAACTCACACCAGGCCTATATGCATACATGCCCAAAATCACAAGAGGAGAATGGAGAAGCAATTGTGGTGTGGCCATCCCCTCTGTGGGGTGATTTCTCACTTTCTCTCTGTCTCTCTGGTGAGTACACATGCCCTTTAACAAAAATCTTGTTCTTAAGGGAAAAAAAATGTGGGTAGAATGCCCCAGAACAGTATCCACTATGTGTAGCTCAGTGTTCAAAGCTGCCTGGTGCTCTATCTCACACATTCTTCCTCAAGTACTACAGCCAGGCAAGACAGCATGGAAAAATCACGAAGCTCTTACGTGCTTCCACCTGACAGTGACACAAATCACTTTTGCTCATTATTCAGCAACTAAGACATATCAGACAGACATGTTCAAATTCAAGAGAATAGGAAAATATAATCCTTTATTATGTCCAAGAAAGGAAGAAAAAACAGAAATATTGATGTCATTAATTATGTTTATATAGTCTGTCAGGATTTTCTGTGAAGTTCTAAACTCTTCCCTGTGAAATGTGAAACACTTCCAGAGGACCTTCTGTGCTGACACTATTAGCTTTGAGAGTCACTTCTTGTATGACCTACCATATCTCTCAAACTTTTTCTCTGCTGAAAATGATCTCAGCTCTGCAAAATACCTGCTTTATAATTCACCTACTTCGGGAAAGTTGAAAATATAAATTTAAAAATGAAAAATCCCAGAATGTAACATTAGGCAAATATAAATACATGTATGCACATGCTTTATAGAAATACCGCTAATAATTTAGCTGTTCCCCTTTAAAACTAGAGAAAAAGTAACTAGTATTGCTGATCAGGAACAAATTTCATGATAAACGCTTAAACTTAGACCACCAAGCTAGGAGAAATAACAGGGTATGTCATATGATTAGGGGATTTCAAGTAAGCTTCTGCTAAATGAGTAGGTTCTTCGGGAAGCAAAGGAAGAGTTGTTGACTGCATTTCAGAGGCGCAGAAGAAAATAGCAAAAGACATGAATTCCAGCCAAAGTGGCAAAAATCAGCAATCTGCCACAGCCACATGGGCTCCTCAGCATTCCTTTCCTGGAGGCACAAGGCAGCACTGGGGCCCTGGCAAGCTACTGAGCAGGAACAAACAGGGACCACAAGTCACCAGTGATTGTTCATTTCTGTGAAGCTTTCCCAGAGACATTTTTGTTAGATCTGAAGTCTGACAGTTCGCCCTGGGCACTTTATGTCACAAAGGATAAGACGGGTTCTCAAAAAGGGGTTTCTGTCTTAGGCCTCAGGGTTTTACCTAAAAGCAAACAAAAATCTTGGCTTCTGAATTCAAATACTGATGCAGGCGAACCGGCCATGGCTATCACTAAACGCCTGCCAGAAAATGTTCATCTGTCTCTTTCCTACACATTGTCCTGACCCCCTGGCTTTCTTCAACCCAAGAAACTAATTCACCTATTGGTTCTTTCCATTTTCTTCTCCCCTCTCATTATTTCTCCCTTTTGTTAATCCTGGAACCCCTTGTATCTTCAGACAACACTGCCCGGATTCTAACCAGGAGATCTGGCTTCCGGCAGCAAGAACAGAGTCTCTTCTACCTGCCCATCCTGATAGCAGACAGTGGACAGCCAGTGCTGAGCAGCACAGGGACGCTGACTATCCAGGTGTGCAGCTGTGATGACGATGGTCACGTTATGTCCTGCAGCCCCGAGGCCTACATGCTCCCAGTCAGTTTGAGCAGAGGAGCCCTCATTGCCATCTTAGCCTGCATCTTTGTCCTCTTGGGTGAGTAAGTAGCTCCGCTCTGGTCTGTGAAGTTTTGCAAATGCTTCTGAGGTATCAGTCAGTTACCACCTAACACAGCTGTTTAGAACTCGTCGTCCACACTATGCCTGCTGAAAAGGTGTCAGAGAGGGGCTAGAAAAAAGTAAAGACATTGAAGACAGTCCCTTCCTTCAAGGCCTCTTTGACAAGATCAAAGTACATGTATTTATCAAACATATATGGGCCAAGTACCACACTAGGGTCTGAGATTAATCAGACTGACATGCCTGGACTTTTACAGAGTTGACTTCAAAATGAAGTAAGTTCCTCTTGGCATCACAGAATAAAAATTACTAGTTTGGACAGGATATGATGATCACCTTTTCTAACCCCTTCATTTCAGATAAGTTGTAGCTAAATCACAGAGAGGTAAGTAATAGGCCCAAGTCAAATATGAGGCAGAGGCAGGACTAAAATGCAGGCAGGACATATACAGGGCACCCCATCTCTCAATGCCATTGCCTCTTTCCTAAAGGTTCACCCTTCTGATTCTGAAGGTGGTGTTACAGAGAAGGGAAGAAGGACAGGGTATCCAGGGGACAGGGCTAGGTGCCATTTCAAATAGGGTGGTCAGGGAAGCCCTCACAGATCAAGAGACCTTTGAGCAGAGATCTGAAGGAAGTGATGGAATACAGGTTTCTGGGGGGAAAAAGCTGTGTGGGGGTTGTGGGAGTATTAGCACTACCCTCCCAGGCACTATGCCCAAGGAACAGTGACTAAGCAGGGCCAGCGTGCTTCTGCTGGTGAAAGAAAGAGATTTGATAATGAGTTAGTGAGAGAGTACTATTGCATCAGGGGGTCCTTTCCTTCCCCCCCTCAAGACAACCAACACCCTCATCTATGAGGTCATCTGTTCAACTGGTTTATTTTCCCTAACATTCCACTCTCAAAAACAGAAACACACACACACACACACACACACACACACACACACACCTAAACCAACTCTTGAAACCAAGAAAAAATCCGTACCTATAACCCCATTCTTGGTGAATTAACCCATGTATATATCTTGTTTAGAGAAAAGTAGATTCAGTAATATTATTCAATATAAAACAAACACCAGCTTCCCTCTATGAGGGGATAAAAAGTAAAGCATAGGGATTTAAATTAGAATAGACTTACAAATATCTACATACACACCTTATCCCAAGTTCACCTCTGTACCAAGAGAGAGACCAAAAAAAGAAACTCCCAGCTGTGTAAAATATCAGCACATAATTGACTTTCTAGGTGAGTCTGTGGAATATGCTGCTCAAACTATATTTTAAAGCACAATACATAGTTTAGTTTTGTTATCCTACTTCTGCCCCACAAGAAGTGAGAAGCAATACAAGTAAGTGAGTTTCTAAGTCCTTGGATCCCTGGAACAGAGAGAACTGTTATGGTTTCTGGTCTGTGTCTATACTGACAAATAAAACCTCTCTGCAATTCCTTGTGTGTCCGTAAGGTGGCATTGGGTTCCTTCACTGCAGCTCAATCTGCAGGAAGCCCGCTGAAATTCCTAGGAGAAATTCCCAGGCTGGCTGATTTTACTTCTATCTTTGGAAAATGTCCATGTTATAAATTCACTCCGGCCCACAGAGAGCAATCATTAAGAAAGAATAAGAGGTTAAGTTAGAAGTTGTTTGCAGGGGATAATTTATTTGTCCACCCCAAACCCATTATGACTTATCTTAAATTATACACAATAAAAAGTTTTCAGGAGCTAAACTGTACAGAGGTGTCATAAAATCTTCATAGTTTCACAAGTTTTAGTACATATCCCATATTAAATAACTCATAAATCTGTATATTATTTAACAGTTGATTTGACCAAAAGCATCATATTTTGTGGGGAACTAAATAATCAATTTTGACTTTCCAGGTTTTTTTTTTTCAAGTCTCAAATATGTATCTAGTTCCTAGAAAATCTCATAAGCCCTATATAATGTACATATAGTACCCCCAAAATAAAAATCCCTAGAACTAATTCTCTTATCCAGGAAGCCTTTCAGCTTAATAGGGCCTTTTTTTTTCCCCAAGTCAGGGCATTTATTATACTTTTTATCTAAATCAGATTACCAAAAACAAAAAGAGAGAGAGACATACAGCAATCTTTGTTTTTCAAGAGATGAACCAGTTCTATAAAATGTCTAATTCTCTATCACTATCAAAATTTTCAAGCAGATACTCAGATTCTTTTTGTTTGTTTGTTTTGCCATAGGGTGCATGCACTTGCCAGAAAGAGACAGAGAGAGCCCATGAGAGGAAAAGTGAGAAATCACCCTCACAGGGGATGGTTACACTGCAATCCCTTCTCCATTCTCCTCCTGGGATTTTGGGCATGGCCATGCACACTCCTGCACCCAACATGATTTTCAAGCTGCCAGATCCAGGACTCGAATCTTGGTCATTCATGAGGGAATCTTCCACCTTAATCACCATGCCACCTACTGGCCCTAGTCAAAGCCTCTTCTAATTTTGCCTCCCAACAATTTTCAAAATACCACCTCTATCACTCCAGGGTCACCTGTGAGAAGCCCTTCCTAGTCTCCTAAGAATTCACTGGCCCTGCCTCTACCTCTGTAGTCTCTTGACAACACCTGTAGCCCTGTGATAGACCTTTATCACGGTCTAACTCGTGTTAGTCACCAGCAACTATGATCTCCTTAAATTGCAAGCTCATTAAGGGAAAAAAACAATGTAATATTCAATGTTGTTTCCCCATTCCTTAGTATAGAGCCTTAAAAATATCTGTGTTTACTTACCATTTACTGAATCTCACAAACACTTAAACACAAAACACTTAAATCATGTTTTAAGTACCATTTCTTGAATCTATATCAATCCAAATCACACTCCATCCTTTGATGTCCAGTTCAAGCCCCACCCTACCCCTATAGGATTCTATTACACTTTTCTCTGAAATCTCAGCTCTTCTAGTCCATGCTTCATTTTTTGGGACACAGAGAAAACAGAAACTAGCATATAATTGTTTTCTGTGTATGCATTTTGTCACCTGAGTTATTCGGGAAAATATCAGGTATTAACAGCATTAATTGCAATTTATAAAAAAGCACATTTTACATTCAAATTTGTTAGTGTTATTTGTCAGTTTGTAATCTCATATTGCACACTTGGCTGTGCTCCGTCTCTTCCCTTGGATAAACTGGGATCTTACTCTGCAATGCTGTCAAACTGTCACTATTCTGCAGCTGCAACAAAGCACACCAGGAAAAAAAATCAATAGCAGTTCTACAGCTAAAACCTCAACACACTTCCTGGAAAATGTTTTCAGTCACAGAGATAAACAGCTCAATGGGATTATCTCTATCTCTCCTTTAAACCCCAGAGAACACATCCTGAGGAGGAAAAAAAAATGCATTTGTTGGGATAAAATTTTATCCAAGACTGCAAGGGCACATCTAACAGTGTGGTGCTTCTTTGATAACATGACAAATTATATGAAATGTCACCACAAATGCCCTCCATTCCATGAACACATTGGATCCAGAAAGTCACAACTACCTCTCTAATAACAGGTTTTCTGAGGAATTTGAGGTCATAGTACCACAGAGGTCATTTATGTCCTCTTACATTTTGGAAAAGATAAAAAAAAAAAAAAAAAAAAAAAAACTATGACTTTGATTCGTATTTAGCATCTGTGCCTATATGAATATTCATTATATAATTATATTTATAGAGTAGAACCCTATTAAGATGCTAACATAAGAAATAGGAATTCCACCTACATAAGGTTCTCACGTTATAATAAGAGAAATGTATTTTCATTATTATAAGCAGAGTGTATGATCTGATCCTTAGTATATCTCACTCCGGGGCGGGCCATGGTGCTCTGTTCATGGTGTTCCAGACCAGGTGGCTGGGTCTACATACACACGCTACTTCCAAGCAGCAGGCTGATGTAAAGGCACTAATTGAGCCACTTGAAGAAAGAGAGGCCTTTGGGGCTAGCAGGTGTTAGTGGCTGATGTGCTCGATTCCCACATGGTCAACCATGCTTCTAGTTCCAGACCTGGCAGCTTGCGCTCTCTCTCTCTCTCTCTCTCTCTCTCTCTCTCTCTCTCTCTCTCTCGGGCACATGGACACATGTGCCCTGTGGCAAATCTAAAAGAAAACTATAATAATCCTTAATAAAATTAATTACTTTTGAAAAACAAAAGAAACAGAGGGACTCATTCACACGCAAGCTCCGAAACTGACATGGCAGAAAGGCTGAGCACGAGGTCGGCTTAAGGCACAACGCCCCAAGGTTTCAAACGTGCAAAGGCGACCTGGGCTCACCACTCGGACATGCCCCGCTCTGTGGCCTCCCGGTAAACGCCCTGTCCTCTCTGTCCCTGGCAGTGCTGGTGCTGCTCATCCTGTCCATGCGGCGGCATCGGAAGCAGCCGTACATCCTCGACGACGAGGAGAACATCCACGAGAACATCGTCCGCTACGACGACGAGGGCGGCGGCGAGGAGGACACCGAGGCCTTCGACATCGCAGCCATGTGGAACCCCCGCGAGGGAAAAAAAAGCGGGGAGCCGCCCCCGAGACGCGGCAGGACATGCTGCCCGAGATCGAGAGCCTCTCGCGCTACGTGCCTCAGACGTGCGCCGTCCACAGCACGGTCCACAGCTACGTGCTGGCCAAACTCTACGAGGCCGACATGGACCTGTGGGCCCCGCCCTTCGACTCCCTCCAGACCTACATGTTCGAGGGGGACGGCTCCGTGGCGGGGTCGCTGAGCTCGCTGCACTCGGCCGCGTCGGACTCGGAGCAGAGCTTCGACTTCTTGACAGAGTGGGGGGGCCCCCTGCCGTACG